GTGGCAGTGGCAGTGGCAGTGGCAGCAGGGACAGTGGCAGCAGGGAGTGGCCGTGGGGCTGTGGCACAGGCGGGTGGTGGCAGCGGTGGCCAGGGGGAGTCGCCAGGGTCCCGTGCCCTGTGCCACAAGTCGGGGAGCTCGGGGAGGAAAGCCTGTCACCTGCCATGCCCCTGGAGCCTGTGCCCCTCCCCAGCCCCTCCTGGTGGGCAGCACCCTGAGTCCCCAGCAGTGCCATGTCCCCTCCCTGGCCCTGTCACCAAACAGCCCAGCGTGGCACCTGTAGGTCACTGGGGACAGGCAGGGGGGTCCCCGTGGCCAACTGCCCACAGCATCATGCTGTGCCACCCTGTCACCACCCCGTGCCACCCTCCTGTGCTGCAGGGGACACTGGGGGCACCAGGAGGGAGTGGCAGCAGCTCCAGGTGTCTGTCTGGGGGTGCCCAGTGCCAGTGCTGGGGGGACACCGGGGTGGGCACCCTGTGCCCGTGGCAGCGTGCAGGGTGTCCGGGGAGGCCGGAGAAGTGCCCAGGTGACCCCACAGGGCTGGAGTGGTGAGGGCCGGTTCCAAGGGAAGGGGTTGGGATTAGGGAAGGGATGTCCTGGCACGGGGGTGTCCTGACACAGGGGTGCCCTGGCACAGGGGTGTCCTGGCACAGGGGTGTCCTGGCACAGGGGTGCCCTGGCACGGGGCTCTGCACCCCCAGCAGTGGCAGCAGGGCTGGCCCGGGCTGGGCTGTGCCAGTGCCGGCTCTGCAGAGCCTCAGCAGCACTTTCACTCTCCCTGGCCACGGAAACCGCGGGGCTGGGCTGGGCCTCTCGCTCTGACTCCTGCTCCTGGTGCTGAGCTGAGCCGTGTTAAACTGAGCTGTGCTGAGCTGGGCTGAACTGAGCTGTGCCAAACTGTGCTGAGCTGTGCCAAACTGTGCTGAGCTGTGCTGAGCTGTGCCAAGCTGTGCTGAGTCAAGCTGTGCTGAGCTGAGCTGTGCCTTAGAGCTGTGCTGTGCTGAACTGAACTCACCTGTTCTGAACTGTGCCGAGCCGTGCCGAGCTGTGCCATCCACCTGCACAGACGGTGTCCCTGGTGCCATCCCAGCCCTGTGGCCGTGTCTGGGTCGTGCCTCGTGCCGGGGCTGGCACTGCCACTGCCACCCCAGAGCCCAGGCGGGGACTCTGTCCCTGCCACGTCACCGTGCTGGGGACAGTGACACGTGTGCTGCACTGCTGGTACACCTGACACACACACCTGTCACACACCTGTCACACACACACCTGTCACACACCTGTCACACACATACACACACACGTCACACACACACGTCACACACATACACA